GCTCTGCCGGCAGCGCCACGAAGTCCGGACGGCCGCCAACTTTCTCTTGTGCCTCGACGAGTCCGTGAGCACGCCGACGGTCGTGACGCGGACGCGCACCAACAGCTTTGCGCAGTTCCAGTCGCGGAGCGCGCTCGCGCTCGAGCTCATTGTCGACTGCGTCGAGTGCGACGAAGACCATTTGGCGCTGCAGCTGGTCCGCGTCGCGCGTGCGTGGGAGCCGGACCACTACTACCACGCGAGCAACGGCGCGTCGCCGCAGTACGAGCGCTACATTGACGAGCAGCTCGGGAAATATGCCTTCCAGGTACAGACTCCGCGTTGCGGCTTTTAGCGGACGATGGCCTGTGTGTAGATGCTTGTCCAGTACCGATTCGACAAGGTCGTATGGCTCCTCTCCCAGACCCAAGTGCCACTGCCCGTCCTGTTTGGCGACGATCTCGGCGTCCGTAGCGAGAGTCTTGCGCTCATCCACGAGCGCCTTGACGTTCTCTTGACCACGGACGAGCTGCGCTTGCTCCACAGCGCGGTCGCGGCAGCCAAGTACGAGCAGTGGGCCACGCTTCTGGACGCAGTGCTGCAGCAACACACGTAGAGATGCATGGGATGAAGATATATACAGAAAGGAGTCATCGTCGATCCATTAACCATGGCGAAAGATGAGAAAGCCGATTTGGCCCAGGAAAAAGTAGAGGAGCCTAGGAAGTTTCGGACGATGAGGACGGTCGGAGGCCTCGGATGGACGTACTTTTTGACTTCGTGCGTCACGAACGAGCCAAAGGATTTGCCGACAATGACGTGCCAGCTCCCGTCGTGGGTCTCTTCGATCTCTTTCTTGATCTGCTGCGCGACTTCGGTAAAGTGATTCTTCTCACCCTTGTAGTACGCCTTGAGCGCGTTCGTGGCGCTTGCGATGAGGAAGTCTTCCATCTCGGTGCTGCTGTCCCGATGCGCGATGCGCAACGCGCCGACGCTCACGTCGTCCTTCTTGGCCGCGGCTTTCGACATTTTCTGTTTCAAGTGTGTCCCTTCAAGATCGCTTCCGCCGACGCTTGGCACACCTGCGGTAGCCGCCCTTGCGCACGAGACAGCAGCACGTCGAATATGCTCTCGCCTTCCTCCTCGCTGCAATACAATCATCACTCGTACAACCTCTGGCAGAACCCAAGTCGAGAGCTTTCTGGACTACGACTGCACAGGAAGCAAGCGCCTTCGTCGCACCGACGAAGCGCCTTTGCTCGTGCAGGCGGTCGCTCCAGATACGCCAAAGCAGCCACGTAGCTACAGGTACGTCGCGTTGGCACGCTGTGCCAGCGAGATGACGTGGCACGCCCTGCGTCGCCTTATGTTCCGGATAATGTTGCATCCGGATAGCCTCGAGCGTTTTGGGCGCAACCGCTTGGAACATCCAGGTGTGAGCATGGGCCGCAACACGCAGGCCGCCGACCCATGGGAGGTCATCGAGGAGTGCGTGCGATACCTTGAGGGTACTACCGCAGAAGGACGCTCCGTGGCAGCGTGACGAGCGTGCGTAGGGCTCCACCTCCCGGACGTGCTCTACCAGCGCTGGGACAGCATGGGTGACGTGCGCCACGTCCAGCGCGGCCTCGCCGCCCGGCGCCACGGTGTCCTTGACAGCGTCATGGACCCGTCCGTGGTCGTGAGCGTGCTCGAGACGCAGCTCCGCGATCTCCACTCGCGCGAGTACTTGGTGTTTTCGCCCTTCCTCTACATCGAGCTCCTCGACCTCGGCCGTACCGTCCTGCCTCGATTGCGCTGTGCTAATCGCGCTCTTCTACTAGGTGCTGTCGGGCGCAGCAAGCACGAAACCTTGGTGTGGGTGCGAGCTCTGTATGCGCAGACGACCGAGCCGTACCGGAGCCGCATGCGCACGATGCTTGGCTTTCTCGCGACGCAGTGCGACGTGGCCGATATGGACAAGACACTGTACATCGTCGAGCGCTATGCGCCCATGCTCCTGCGCGACGGCAGCAGCGCGTACATGTCGCTCCACCACATGGAGAGCTTTCCCGCCGCCACCGAATGCCTTCTGCTCTTTCTGACGCATCTGGACCGTCTCGACGGCGGACTTCTGCCAACGACGCTCCGCCAGCACATGGATGAGATCTTGCACGACACCGTGCACGCAAGTCTCTTTGCCGCGCCAGCGCCTCGTCGCAGCATGCCAGGTACAAGCACAACAGTCGTCTCACGGTTCCTCACGACGTCGGCAGTCGACGCGGCGGCGACTCGGATTCAGGCGATGACGCGCGGGTGGCAGATCCGCCGCTGGATCGGGCTTCGGCTGCTGTACACGTCGGTGTCGCTATCGCCCGTGAGCACCTTTCGGCGGCACTACCTCGGGATGACCAAGCGCGTTCTGCACTGGAGCGTGCCGGAGCTGGTGGCCGAGAAGCGGCGACTCAAGGCGCGCCTTCGAGCCTTCGATGAAGCGTTTACGCGGACGCACCACCGCGTGCCGACGCCGTCCGAGAAGGATCCTGCCCGTGCCACGTACGAGATCTACCATTTCCTGCGCATCGTACTCGACTACCAGCGGCAGCAAGACGACGCGGACCCAACGTCGTTTCAAGAGTAGTCCTCCCAACCCGAACCCTATCCCACAAATGACATGCAATAGCTTTCTCCAGACCGCGACAACGAGCCAGCTCGCTAATGCAAGGGACAAGTGCCAGCTCCAACTGCTCATCTTTGAACGGCACTTTTACCTCTGCTGCGGCGGCAAGGTATCCCGTCATTGCTGTATATATGATACGACGCTGCGTGCAGGTCGAAGACGAAGATGACTATGGGCATATCTTGCCACGCTATCTCCAGTACAAGGTAATATTGATCGTTCGACTTGCGGTGGCTAATCTGGGGATGGTAGACACTAACGGGCAAACTGGCCGAGACGGCGTAGAGACGTTTGATTGACTAACTGATTTACTGATTGATATACTAGTACTCGAAGCAGACTCTGCCAACTGCGTCTTATGTACTAAAAGTATAGAGCATCTAAGTGCGCACATGTCTTTGCTCGTTTGGTAGTCGACTACCGGTACATCCTTCAGGACGTGTGGCTCTGAGGCGAAATATCTTCAGGTCGATGCGAGTAATGTACCATTACTGCATACTAGTACCACCGAGGAGGGTAGGACACAAGTGGGATATATTAACATAGTGATTGTCTAGCGTCTTGATGTCTAGCGCGACCCGAGACCTGCTCGGGACACTTGTCGTGCGACGCCTTTGGGCAAGAATCCCTGGAGCGACGTGGCGTGGTCTTGGAGGAGCCGGGCGCTT